TTCTGAATTTACATTTTGAGGGAGCTTGGGAAACACCAGCATGGTGAGGACAGAGACAGAATTTCCTGCTGGTTATGAGGTGTGGACATGTTCCTGTGACGAGCTAAGATGGTCTCAGACTTTGTCACCATGCTGAGCTTTAATTTGTGGCAGAAGATCCCCAGTTTTTCTGAGTTCTCAATCTTTTTTCCACCTACCAGAAAGTAGCTGCTGAAGGTGCCAGCTGAGAGCCAGTTTGGTAACCTCTGAGCGAGGAGAGAGATTATACCTGCTGAAGGTACATGCTCTCACAAGGAATATCCCTGGAAAGGGATAAGGTAAGTTGAATTATGAAAGCATCAGTACCCCAAGCTAAATTACCTGGCCTCAGATTGCATTTCTAGCCCTGCAGAGCCTGGCTGATACCCGGCCAGAGTTGTGCTAGCCAATGTGAGGTAGAGCTGAGGCACTAACCCACCAAGTCAGCTGAAAGGCACTGCTCACTGGCAGTGGAGGCTGCAAAAGGAGTCCCCTGCATGTCCTGACTCTGTCTCTTCCTCTGTGGGGCATGATGGTGAATGGGATAAAAGTCTGGTCAACAGACATTACTAACAGAAATGAAAGTCTTTAAAATAGTTAAGGATTAGGTACATCTTCAGAGTAACTGTTTGAAGGATGGAAGCTCCCAAATAGCCAGCATCACATGTGAGAGACCTCAGGAGGATAATCAAGGTGCTGCTTGTGGGTGACCCCAGCCACAGGCCTCACATATTGTCATGATATCGGCAGCACTTCTTCAAGCCAGTGCTTTCTATCGGTGCCAGCTTTGTCAAAGCCCTGTCATGCTGCTGGCAGAGCACTGATGCACATGGTGCTCTGCTTAGTGAGCACTTTGGCTCTTCTTTCTTTCGTTTCTTTAGGATATGAGCTTGGTGCTTGTCTGTTGGCTTGGAAGACAGAGCTGAGCTCTGGGTCCTCTGCTGAGTCTGGAGGGATGGGAACCCTGCAGGCTCTGAAGGGAAGCTGGGAAATCCCATGAAGTCAGACACTGAGAGGGAAGAGAGCAGGCCTAACCTGACAACTGCCTGCACAGTGGCAAGGACAGAGACCTGAAGTTTCTTCTGGAGGTAAAACGGTGGCCTGGGTGATTGAGCTTATTTGTGAGATGTGTGTTAGACAATGGCATTTTCCACTGGGAAGTCTTGAAGCCAAGCTCACCACTTGGGACATATTCTGGGCACAAATTCTAGGACATTGGTCCATGCATCTTCCCAAAGCACCTGGAGTGCAGATCTGAGGACTGTGCATGTGCCCAGCAGAGTGAAAACTGAGACCTGTGGAAAAGGTTAAAAATAATATATGATGCAGTGCAGACTGTGACAAGAACAAAACCAAGAGAAAATAGGAGGAGAACAGATAGATAAAGCAAGATGCCTAGGCTGCAGTGAAATCTGCAGCAGTGTTCCCTCTTGCACTGGCAGCTGAAACAAGTGATGCCTTGTGTTGCATAGCCACCCCTCAGTGCAGTGTAAGAGCTGGACCTGCAAGGGCTCTAGAGATGGTACCAGGACGGAAGAAAGAGCAGTAGCAAGTCCTTGTTTCTCAGCTACACAAAATGGGAATGTGCATGTGGATTATCACTGCAAAAGAGAGATGTTATTTATTTTCCTCCTATCCTCGCAAAAATGGGTGCTCGAAACGATTTAAATCAAACTTCATAGGAAAGTTGACCCTTATAGGCAAAGCACAGATCAGGTAATTGGAATTAAACAGAGCCAACACTGCCAGAAAAGGCCTCCACTGGAATACGCTTAGAGAGGGATGCCAACTACTGGAAACGAGATCGTCATGAGTGAGCAGAGGTCTGGAAAACGTGGTCTGTGAAGAAGGCTGAAAAAATGGGGTTGTTTAGTCTACAAAAGAAAAGTCTAAGAGGGACAGCATGATTAATCCTCAGAAATTTAAATTATTAACATTGAGAAAGGTAGCAATAGACTGTTTTTCATGTCCATTTACAGAAGGACAAGAAAAAAATAAATTAATTGGAAACATGGAAGATTAAGATTTTTATATTAGTGCACGATTTTAAGATCAAGCCTAGCCAGGGGATAGAGACATTGCCAGACGAGAGGCAGAGTCTTCCTCAATGGCAATTTAAGAAGCTAAAACTCTGGAGGAGGTAGCTTTCCTTATTGGGCCTTAGAATAAGGAGATGGTCTAGATGACCTCCTTCCTGCTGCATTTCTGTGGCATCTGTGACATTTATAGCACGAGTTTAGCTCCATTCTTTTTGAAGCTTGCTGTTTCTGGTTCTGACACATGCAAGCCAGGGACTATTTGATTCAGCAGAGTTACTTAATCATCACACACATTAAAATGGTTTGACCAAAGCAAGCAAAAAGCAGGAATTGCCACTTGCACCGAATGATAGCTATTTGTCAGCTTTAATAGCTGCTGTATAATTCATGGAGGTAAAAGGCTACAAAAACTGTCATTTCTTTTCATTTTCAGAGTTTTCAATACAGCCCAACATGCAGTTGCTGAGTGTGTGTCATGGAGGCTGGGTCTGCAACAGACCGTGTTGTGCCCCCTTGGAAGTGATGAAAGCAGGTGACCCAAGCCACCAAATCCCTTTATTTTAGTGATCTGCTTTATAGCATCTGCATGCTGAGACAAGAAAAATAGAATGGCTGGATTAACGAAAAGCAAATTGGGATTTTTCTGGAGTTTATTTTGCTTTGTAATTTTTTGAAAAGGAGGTTTGTGAAAGTGACTGTTTCTGCTCCACCTGCAAGGCCTGATTTACCAGCTGCACTGGTCAAGTGCTGCCTTTTTAGCACACTCTGATAGACATATATTGTGTCTGATGACCAAGGCTCTGGCTCTGCTTTCTGGATATTCTGGCCATGCGTGTCTAACATCTAACACATCTTTGAGCATGTTTGCAGTTCAGCATGACAGAGAATTGCAGCCAAGGTGGGAACTAGGAAAGAGATACTGCCCACAATGTTTCTTCCACCAGTGACTCTGCTTTTACTGGCACCCAAAGGGGTAATCACTGTCTGTGGGTCTTTTCAGGACTTGTTCACCATCTGCAGCCTGGACCCTGAAGGAAGTGGAAATGCTTTCCCTACAACCACCAGCAAGACCTGGATACCAAAGTGATCTTTGTCCCTGGCAGACTCTCGGGAAAGGCAAGTAGTCCAATATAATGCCCTGTTGTTTCTTATTGAAGAGTAGTGCACATATTGCCAAGGAAGTAACTGCACTTCATTTTCTTAATATAATCTTTTATAAATTCTTTAAATCTAGTAAAAGAGCTGTGATATCCAAGGGTACATAATTGTGGATTAAAAGGCACTGGAACAAATGTTTTACTTTGCTTCCTGAAAGATCCTAGTCTGTGTGATTTTTCTTAATATATGTATTCTTATATATGTATATAAAAATACATATAAATACTAAATAATAAATAAGTACTAAATAAAAAAACAAAACAGAGGAGTAGCCCTGATAAATTTGATACCAACCCTTCATATTCTTTAATATTGCACATGGTGTTCAGCCTCCGGCTGTGCTCCTGGGAGCCTGTGCCTTGCCTGTTCACCCAGGTATGCTGTCTGCGTGTTTGCCATCCACCGAGCAGCACAGTGAGCCTGCAAAGGACCATTCTGTGCTTTTTGTAGCCTTTTCTGGCCAAGGTTAAGGATTTTCTATTTTTTCTGCTGCATCCCTCCTCAGAAAATCAGAGAGGTCCCTTAATCTTGCAGATAATTTTAGATCTCTGATCTGCCAGAGGCCCTGGCAGAGGAAGGGCTCTGCCATCTGGTAGCCTGTCGTACCTGAACAGCCCTTTGCCTGTGTTTGGAATGAGGAGTTATTTTTTATGCAAGTTCTGACGTTAGCCATGGGTACTCCTGGAGTATTTCCAAGTTTTGTAAATGTCGTTGTGTCTTCTCCCTGTTTTTTTTTCCTATTTTGTTTCTGTGCTTATGTCACTCCGCTTTCCACCAGGTTGGAAATGGAGAACATGTCTCGGAGTACCCTGCACAAGAGTCCTATTTCCAAACTTGCTGTCTCTGGCTGCCCTTGGAGCACTGTAGCCCCATTACACTGAGCAGATGGGAGCTCTCATTAGGTGCTGCACTGAGCGTGCAGTGTCACTGGTGTCCCTACAGCAGCACGGCAGAGCACTGCATCAGGTGAGTTACGTACCGGTTCAGAGCCTGAACTGGTAACATCTTTTGTTTCCAGCTTCAGTGGTGTAATTCGTACCTATTTGGTTTTTTAAGAGTAGTGCATTTCAGTTTGAATGACAGACACTTTAATACATATCCCATGGGTCAGCTTTCATCCCTGCGGGAATCAGAGCACTGGCGTGAATTAGCAGGAGGTCAGCTTTTACATCTGCTACAGTCTTCCTGAATGACCTTGCACAAGCCCTTTGATCTGTTTATGCCTCAGTCTGTCTTACTGTGTAGACGAGAGAGGAAGGAACCCTCCCGTCACAGCCGTCGCTCTTGCACAGTCAGAGAAGATGCTCCCTTGTGCAGAGATGAGCTTCTGCTGTGTTTGGACATAATGAAGGTCTGATCTCAGCAAGCTCTAGAAACAACTTACTGTAAATAATACTAATAGCAACGCTAACACTCTGTATACTTTGTAATATGCCTGCATGAGGCAACGTCTGTGTGTGTTTAGATGAGCTGTAAGCAGCAGTATTTGGGCTTTGCACCAGCTGCTGTGATCATAGTGCAGTTATCTGCTGGTTGGTATCTGTGATGGTAGGTATTGGGTGTGAACACCGCTCTCTGTGCATTGCAATCTCCATATTTAATGTCTGCTTTTGGCACTCTCATCTCTTTCCTTTATGAATGAGTGGGTGAGGGAGGAGAGGGCTGGGCTGGGCTGACTCCTTTGCAGTTGAACCAGAAAGAGCACAGGGGCTGAAACAATCTCCTCCTCCTTCCCTGTGCTGTTTCACCGACAGCCTTGCTCACAGCTGGGAGGAGGACAGCCTCACCAGCAGCCTGAGCAGGAGCTGGGAGAAGGGAAGTTTCATGCTCTTCACACTGCAGGGAAAACCTCTTTGCATAAACTCTGCTCATAGGTGAGTTTCATTTTTATCTATTCATTCTTAGAAGCAAAGAAATTTTCCATCATTGAGCCAGGTTATACAAGGTTAAGACCCCTGGAAAGGTGGCAGGACAGTTTTTTGGCTAGGTTGTTAAAGCAAAAAAATAAGGCAGTCCAAGGACTCAAGTAAAGCAATGTGTCAAAAAAAAATAAAAATCACAACTTCAAAATTAATTTCCTTGGCAAGTTCCCACTAGTGGGAACTTTGAATAAAAGTTCTCCCAAAAAAACTTTCTTCAGTTCTACTTAGGCGTGAGAGCTCAATGTTGAAGTTGTATCGATGAGAGGGAATGAAGACAAACTGAAAAACTGTTTCATGTTTGCAGCAGGCAACCAAAGCAATATCCAGTAGTTAAATTCCAGTAGTCATTTTCAGAGAATTTAGCAGGACTGTTTAAATTGACTAGATATAAGCTATTCTGGATGACTGCTAAGTGATTTAAATACTTCATTGCCTCTGAGAACACAAGCCAAAAGTTACACCTAACAAGAAACTGTTAAACCACACACCTTGGTGTGTAGGTGCTCTCTGTATACCTATATAGTTTTGTCTTTGTATCTCAAAAGTATGTCATTACTATGTTTTCCAAACAGTAAGCCACTTTTCTTGCTGCTGTTCAGAACCTGACTTGGGAAACTAGAAATCTGAAGGTTTGTTTAGTGAAGTGAAATCCATTTGGTCAGAAATGAATCTAATTTTTTTTTTAATAGGATTTAAAACCTTTGTACGTTATTGTAGGTTGCCTGTCTTACGAGCACATTTTTCTGGTTCTTGACAGTCTTTGTAAAGAAACAAGGAAAGTAAATCACTGAGTGATCAGTTTCATGTGTGCATGGGGAGGGGAGCTGAGAAATAGAGAATTTAGAAGAATATAGCAGCCTTGTCCTGTCCTTTTCTGTTCAGAACACATGCAGATATTTATTAATAAAAAATTAAGGAAACTTAACAGTGAGGCAAGGAAAAATGGCTACATGTAGGCTCATAAGACGTGACACTGTCATTGTGAGCATTACGGGACTTTCTGAGCAGCCTGTTAATCAGCTCCGTGACATTTTCCACATTAGCACCCTGTGTTCACACTGTCTTCAGAAGTGTACAGTGTCTGACCACTTCTTTCAAATTTGCCTCAATCAAGAAGCCAGTAAAAGTGAGTCAATCCTGTGTATTTGACACCCACTCTTCTGTTCCTTTTCTGAAGAAACAAAGTTTTTTACTGTCCTCACCCCTGTCTTCTGCCTCCCAATCTTATTGCTAGTATGGTGTTCCCCCATATCATGCTGCTTCTACACATGCAGTTGTAAGGTCTTTCTAATACATGAAAGAAAAGGCAGAAGGTAGCTGTTTCCAGCTTATTTTATGGTTGGTGCTTTACAGCTGTAATATAGATAATAAGAGAGAAGGTACATCCCCAAAGTTTTAGGAGTCTTTCCATGGTCTGGGGAGTACACTGTGAGAAAATGTTGGATTTATAGAATCAGACCAGTATGTTGTTCTGTGATAGCAGGGCACAGCTGAGGGGGTGACAATGTCTACATCACAGTGTTGTGATTTGAATATCGCAGTTTTAAATGAAGAAAGAAGTGGCGGTTCCAATATCTCATTAAAAAAACTCATCTCACTTGACATCTGCAGTGAGATGTATTTTTCTCAGTTTGTGGCTGGCGGACAAAAATTGACTCAATTTGTTCTGGGACCTGAGGAGTGTAAGCAATCCTAGACAGCGGGAAAAGAGAGAAGGGAGATGTGGAGAAAGGGGAGAGAAGGGAGGAAAGTCAGTCCCAGCTGAACTAGGTGTACATAGGTGTCATCATACTAGATGTCATCAAATAGGGTGAGCCTGGGGGATGGCTGGTTCCTGGGGTTGGACAGACTGGAAACTTCTTGCCTGTGGCTGAGCACAGTTGCATGGGGCCAGGTGTAAAAAGGTGTGGGCATTAATGTAAGTTTTCCTCCCCTAATCAGCCCTGTGGTTGTTGTCACTCAGATTATACAGCTGATGCTGTAACTGCAAGTTTTCTTGGCATCCCATTGAACAGCACACAGAGAAGAAATTTTTTTCCCTACCAGTTTTTCTAGATCTGACCTGAGGGTGCATTCGTGTTGCCCTGGGGCTTCACTCCCGCTGGTTATTCTTGTGTCAGTGTGGTGATAACCAAAGAAAAAGTTATTTCAAACTCACAAGGACATTTACACAACTTGCTAATTATTTTTAAGTGAAGAACTGTGGAAAGAGAACTCCAGAGGTGGTGGCCTTGTGAGGCTCATTACCTTGTAATTAGCTGAATGTCTCCTCTAAGAGGTTTGTTTTTCCTATAAAGCTTATTCTGAGTGGCTTTTAATGCTTGTTATGAATTATTCTGCCAGATGAAGCATTTGCAGAGCTGCTGTCCCTGACAGCTGATTGCAATTGGTTTTGAAAAGACACAGAACAGCTTTAATGTTTAGAAGAAACTAGCCAATAATTTTAAGTGAGGGTATTAGTAATCAGCAGCAGCTAAGAACAATATTGCAGTTTATTCTCTGAGGGATGCATTCACTGTAATTCCTTTTTCTCCACTAGAAACCACACTCTGAACTCTGTTAATCTACCAGGTAGCAAAAGGATAACTTTTTAGGTACTTCATCTGGAAGCTGTAGCTAATCTGAAAAAGAAAAAAAGACTAAATAATAGGTTTAAAACACTATTAGAGGGAGATTGAGAAATGGGCTCACCTGAAAGTATACTCTGTTCCTCTCCATGGAGCCCTCTTGCCAGAAATTGTTTCTGTGGCAACAGATTTGTTTCCAGCTGGGTTGTCTTGGAGTTTGATCTGGGGTTGCTTAGGCTCAGATCTGTCACCATGCCAAAGGCGAATAGAAATGCAAACCTGATCTGGTCTACAGGTAATGGAAAGGGCACTCTGCTGCTGTTACTGTCACTCCACGAGAGATGTCCTCCTGACATTCTCCACTCAAAAATTGCTACGGACAGCTATTGCTGCTAGGATGAGCCTAATCTCTCATTTCTGAACATGGTTGCTTTATTCCGCAAGAATTCAAGCTTCCTTTTTCTCATGTTGTTTGGTATGGGTGGATGGTAAAGACACATAGCTTTGAAGAGAGGTTAGATAGCTAGCAGAGGAAGGGGAGATCAAAAATGAATGCATTACAAAAGCAAATGCTATCAAACTTAATTCACTTCAATGGCACCTGAATAAAATGCTAAAATGGGCAATATCAGTAAAGAAGAATGGAAATATTATTACAGAGATCTCTTGGTTTGGCTTTCTTATAACTCAATATTTTAGTAACAATTAGAATGTGATCATTTTATATCTGGAAACATTTTGTCTTCCATCTGCCAAAGAAAGAAGGAAAATTTTTACTCTGTGATGGGTAATGATTTAGTGTCTATGCACATATCTAAATAGAGGATGTATCTGTTTTATGCTCCATGTTTAAGAAGTGATCAGACATAGCTTTCAAAATAGCAATTGTCTTTTAATCTCACAAGAGGCTTAAACTGAAATCCCTTAATTTATCATGTCAGGACATTATTATTTCGAATTTGAACTTGTGTCCAAATTTCAGAGATGGTCTTACACCTCCACCCCAGAGCAGGACCTGGATTTCTGAGCAGCTCTCCAGTTTGGAATCCCACATCTTCTGTGCCAGCTTTTCTATCTCCTGCCCAAGAGCTTGTCAGAACTCCCCAGTAATGAGTATTTGATTCTCTCCCTTTTCTCTAGTCAGACAGACACGTGTTGGGAAGCGTGAATCGTTTACAGTAAGGTTGTTGCTTTTGCTGTGTGTTGCTTTTCTGGTACTATTAAAGAAGGTTTTTCTTTAATTTCTGTGAGGTCATGGTTCTTCAATTATTTTTTTCAATTTTTGTGTTTAACCTCTTTTATCCAGATTAATACCATTATTATAGGCAAGTTGTTCCTCCCAATTTTCTTTAAAAGAAGATTAGAGAAGAGTCAGTTGGTTTTCAAGCATATGGATGGCTGAGTTTGTGCCTCCAGGCAGGATGCTGAGATTTGTCTCCCAGGAGAGAGGTGGCAAACCTGAGAGGGCTCTGACACAGGGGAGGGGGACAGTCACTGCTTGTGTGGATGCCAGTGTCATCCAAAGGGTGGGATGGAGAGGTGCTGGAAAGAACATTTAGGCTCTTAGGAAGGACACTGGAATACGAGAATTCAGCAGCACTGTACTGAGGAAGGCTTCTTGCACCATATGCAAGGCCTGACAGAGGTATGGAGAGAAGCAGTTTCAAGGTATGACTAAGAAAATGGAGGAGGGAAGACAAATTCATATACATTGGGAAATGGGGGCACTCAGGAGTAAGGGAAGGCCAGGCTTTGTTTAAATCTTAATGAAAGCAAGACGTTAGCACTTCAAGTGAGTACTAAAAGAAGTTTTTAAAAGAATTTAGGAAATGAAAATTCAGGAAATGAAAATGTAAGCAAGCCTGCAGATGCAGATGCTAGCACTTTGTTTAGAATGATTTATCCATTGGGAGCTAGGTTGTTGGAGTTCTATATCCTCAAGTAAAAAAAAAAAAGGAAGGACTGAAGTTTTCAATAGTCATCTAGGGAGCAAGAGCAACAATGAGGGAAACAGCACAGAGGAAAACCTTCTGCAAGGCACACTGCTTCTACATAATTGTGAGAAGTCTGAGAAATAACACTGGAGAACACACCTTGCATGCGAATATTGACTTAGATCTACAGGAAACTTGGTTAATCTCCAAAAGGGAAACTGCAGAAAAGGAGGAAGCTTAAATGAAGGCAGCAAAAAGGGATAGCTTAGAAGAGTTAAATCTCTACAGGCTAGGTGGGAACTATTTGAAAACATGCACAAATGCATGTGCACTCCCCACCCCAACCTCCCCCCAGTGCTAGATCCAAGGAAGAAATACAGAAATACAAAACAGGAGTCAAAAAAGACTCAACTGAGTCTGAAAGGAAATGAGGACTCATAAACAGCAGTGC